TCTCTCTCTCTCTCTCTCTCTCTCTCTCTCTCTCTCTCTCTCTCTCTCTCTCTCTCTCGCACTCTCTCTCTCTAGTCTATTTGTCTAGCCACTGTCTATCTCTATATCTATATCTATTTAATTGTTATGGTTATTTTCTTTTACGCAGGGTCCTTCTAGCAAGAATCCCCTGGCTTACAAGTGGTACAATGCCGATGAAGAGATCCTAGGAAAGAAAATGAAGGTGCATATTGCTTAGTGGGTTTAAAACTTCTAAGTTTGATCTGCGATAAATGTATTTGTTTGGATGACATGTATATTGAATTTTTTTCTAAATGGTAAGTATAAGATACGAATTTGTTTCGAACTTATTATAATGTTGTTAATCTCTTTTCTTTCTTTCTTTTAAGATATCATGTGTATTTTTTTTGGAGATATAATATGTTTACTTGTTTTTTCTTTTGAGGAATATTATTTGTTCTTCTGAGAAATATTATTTGTGTGTTTAGTTTTTTTATTTGAGATTTTGAATGTATTATGTATTTTAGCTTTTCTGTTCTGAAGATATTGTTTCAAATTTTCAATTACATTGTATGTGTATTGAATTTTTTTTTTTTGGTGTGAATTGGTATTGAAATGGTTATATGATGATGGTTTTAGGACTGGTTGAGGTTTAGTGTTGCATTTTGGCATACATTTCGTGGGACTGGAGGAGATCCTTTTGGTGCACCAACAAAGTACTGGCCATGGGAGGATGGTACCAATTCTATTTCGATGGCCAAAAGGAGGAGTAAGGATCAACAACTTCGTTTCTAATTTTAATATCTTATTGATTTATATATCTTGACTATGTACATTTCTGCATGGTTTAGGCATAAATTGCTGTGACCCATGCTGATAAGTTGTCCAATTATTCTTCTATTCAGTGTTTTTTTCTTTCGATATGAAGTTTCATTGAAAGAAATAATCTGCTAAACATGTTTCCGTCAACTATCCAAAAAAGATCCCCATTTCGCCATCAATTTTAGTCCAGAACCTGTTTTTTGGCTCTTTTTTGGGAAACTATGTTTTTTTTAATCTTTGTTGTGACCCCCATATGGGTAACTTGAATATGTAGTGAGTGCCAACTTTGAGTTCATGGAGAAGCTTGGAGTGGATAGATGGTGCTTTCATGATAGGGATATTGCCCCAGATGGGAAGACACTGGCAGTAAGTATTGGATGAACAATTATTTTTGCTTTTACTTGTTGGATTTTAATATTAATTTTGTTGGAATCTTAGGGATTTTCTTTGTTGGATTGAGTAGCTTTTTTCCCTTTTCCTGTAATCTTAGCTTCTACTTGTTGGCCCTATTGTGTACTTCACACCAATGCACATGATTGATTGTTCTGTGGCTTTCCTGCTAATTGTTTGTTATAAGATATTTTTGGAAGGTTCATTTACCTGGAAACAGGATTTGGTTTTTATTTTTTACTTTCTTGTTTGCGATATTAATATCTTGATTTCTAACTCTTCTGCATTATATTGAAGTATTCACTTTTCTGGCCTGAGCAATTTGCATTTGATAGACACCCTCTAGCAGAAGTTTGGGATGGCTTGTATAATTGTATTGAAACCCAGAACCTTAGGATAGGGTTGGATTAATGATCATAAAAATCTATTAGGGTTTCATTATATCACTATCACTAAAGCCAGCATGGGTGCACCTCTGATTAACCTGTTACTCATTCCGTGACTTCTTTGATATCTCGAAGACCCAAAGTATTATTCTCAGCCAACTGGTCAATGCCTTACGTTACCCTTAGCCGATGTTCTTTAACCCTCATATGCACTTAACTGACTTCAAAGGTCTATGGATATGCAAAACGTTTCCCTAACAAGTAAAAACCAAAAGGGGGGCCCTCTGAGCCCATCTTGTATGGGCTCTTTGAGCATACCTTGATGGATACTCCTTTTCATCTTAAATGAAATATTGCTTATCATATAAAACAGGTGGCCCTAGATCTCCTTGCGATCTCCTAAAACTGGCTAGGTATCTATCCTATTGAGATATATTTTTACTGCCATAGCTGGTTCAGCACAGGATTCACACCCTCTGTTGGCTTCATCTGCAAATTATAATCTTCACATTCTCACCGTGCTTCTTAACCTGAACCAATCATTAGCATATGAAAGTCCCCACCCACCAAATTAACCTTCTTACTAGTACAAGGCTCTACCGTGACTGTGGTATGGGGCCCCACCCCATGACTCTCCATAATTCTTGATGAACAAAGAAAACTAAGGAATTGACAAATTAAGGTTTCTACATAAATCTTAGCATAAAAAGGAATGTTGTGAAATCATATGAACATGGCTTGGTACGTTGCCAGTGCATGATCATTTGCAAATCAAAGATTTGAAATGTAGGTGAAATTATGGGAAACTATGGAGATAACTATCGTGATCTTGTTGAAGACCCTTTTTAAGCAAAGATGAAAAGGAAATAGAATAAATTGCCCTTTTCTGAGAAAGGTACCTAAATATCTTCTGTAATTGTGGTTATTTAAAATATCCGCTTTGAAGGTTAATATTTATGGTCATTCCATTTTTCTGGGCTTTTATTATTTTTTCCCAAGTTGCTCCTATTTCGGACCTTTAAGGTCCGCAGTATACAGAAGAAACTTAGGACCTTCAAGGTCTGAAATACTCTCGGGATCCTCCTTGACATGCCAGAAAGTGGCCTCTGGGATGCAGGAGCAATTCAGACTTGAAGGTCCTATTTTTTTTTCTCTTGATCCATGAGTCACCTAGGCATGCCAAAAAGTGGCTCTTGGGATCGAGGATCAACTTAGGACCTTCAAGTTTCTAATTCAAAGAGCTTCAAACCTTGAAGATCCTTAGGTTTTTTGGGAACAATGTACGTGTACTTGAAACTTACATATGCAAAGATACTAGGGGCAATTTGCTCTTTTTAAAAAAAAGAAAAAAAAAGGGTATCAATGTAATAACTGATTTTTTTATTTTTATTTTAGGGATGGGGGAGGGGGGGGGGGGGATTTTTTTAAATAACTGAAATTCACATGTATTTGCACTTAAATTTATTTTTTCTTCTTTCTTTTTTCTTTCAATCATAACTTCTGTTAAAGAGAAAAAGTTATCCAAGAAAACATCCAGGAACAAGAAAGACCTAAAACCCATTCCTGAATTATTTACTTCATATGCTCATGTCCGTAACACCCTGTCCATCTTGCTTGTTAAGACAAACAAAATCTACAATGTTAACTGTTAACTTCTACTTAAAGATTTTCTCAAAATCTGTAATCAAGTCAAAATAGAGTATTATGCCTTTCATCTTATAACGTTTGATAAACCCCTTTCAATGCATTTGGAGATACCATGAGCCTTCTTAGCACTCCTCTGATGCTTGCATAAAATCTCTCATCTACTGAAACTTCTTATCCCATTTTGCCATCTGTATGCGACATCTGAAGCTTAAATTTTAGTAACCCAGGTAGTGTTCCCTCTCTTGATCCATTTGAAACACAGTGTGTGGGATCACCTATGTGGACTCAACGGGGTGCGAGTCTTCACTGTACTTATATTGCTTGCTTGTATCATAATCTCAGATTAAATTTAGCTACTTGAAAAAGAAACTAATATACTTGGAAAAGAGTTTCTTAGGAGGATGTTGTTCCACTATGTACTGAGTGAGTCACTAATGGAATTCATGTTTATCTCAGGAATCAAATGCTAACTTAGATGAAGTGGTAGCCTTTGCAAAGGAACTTCAGGTGAGACATCTGAACATATGAACTTAGTTTTCGTAACATTCGGTTTACCCTGTGCCATCGTTGTTAACAACTGATTAAATTTTGGCTCTGTATTAGTTTTCTTGAATTAGTATCATATAATAAGTGAACCATACAGGAGGGAACTGGAATCCGGCCTTTGTGGGGCACTGCTCAACTATTCATGCATCCCCGTTACATGCATGGAGCAGCTACTAGGTATACTCTGTCGTTTTTAATGTATTATTTTTGGGGAAAACATAAACGAAAATAAAAAGTAACTTTTGGGATATCCTTAAACTATATATTTTTCAGATCGTTATAGTACCATGGGACCTTTTTACTTGCAGTTCTGAAGTGGGTGTATACGCATATGCTGCAGCTCAAGTCAAGAAAGCTATAGAGGTGGGTTATCCTAATTCATTTGCATCGATGTTATGCTTCTACGTTCCTTCTAGAATACTAAGCATGCCTGAAAATACAGGTGACACATTATCTTGGAGGAGAAAACTTCGTTTTTTGGGGCGGCCGTGAGGGTTACCAAACTCTCCTTAATACTGACATGAAAAGGGAACTCGATCACATGGTAAAACATTTATTCCTCATTTACTGCTCAAGTACTTGTGGTGCGCTATCCATATAAATTACTTCTTGGGTCAATGCCCTTATAATACTTGTTCTTGGAGATTGGTGCCTTCAATTTTGAGAATGAATCCACAATATTTGGATTGATCATTTGCAGAATGACCTATTTTTTTTGGGTACCTCTTCTGTAGGCAAGATTTTTTCAAGCAGCTGTTGAGTATAAGAAGAAAATTGGATTCAATGGTAATTACTGAACTTGGATAAATCCCAGAAAATATTAAATCCTTTCACTACTGTGCATTTGAGGATTCGTTTCTTACAGGATTTTCATTGCACTTCACTCATTGACTCGTGATAATGTGACTATCTACTCGATATCATGTGTTTTATTTTGTATGATATATGCCTTTTATTTTGTAATATATATGGCTTAAACATTATTGCTTTTGCAGGTACTCTTCTAATAGAACCCAAACCTCAGGAGCCTACTAAGCACCAGTAAGATTGCTGCATTGTTCTATACATTTCTTCTGTTTGCATGTCATGCAATTTAGATTAGCTATAATTGGATAATTTTGTGACAGATATGATTGGGATGCTGCAACATCGTTGAGTTTTCTTCAGAAATATGGGCTTGCAGGTAACTCCCTATATAGAATTTGCTAAAAGAAACAATCCTGGTCCAGATCTTTGGAAAGTTATTAAATTTTGAGCCATAGTTTTTTTCTTTTTGTGGTCACGTAGGAACAAAGTAGTGAAAAATAGTGAATTTGTACCTTCCAAGAAGAGAACACTGATTTCAGGATTTTACCTTATATTAACAAATTTTTCTTCATGAACGAAGTTTTCAATTTGTGAAATTACAGGTCTATATGTACCCTGTAAAAAATAGTGTTGGTCCCACTACCAAAACCAAAGCTCTATACTTGATTACATGGTATTGAGGGCTTTTTGCTGTGCCACTTATTGCAAATCACGTGAGAATTTTGTGCCTATGACTGTAGTGTGTGATTGTCTATGTCAAACATTTTTACTTCTTTGAATTGGTCAAAAGTAGGACCGAAATTCTTACAACTAACTCTTGTTTTAAACATCCGTAATCTGTGTAACTTCTGTGATTGTGAAAATTGTGTCCAATTTCCCTTTCAGGAGAATTCAAACTTAACATTGAGTGCAACCATGCAACTCTTTCTGGACACAGGTTTGTGACTGTAACTGCAATAAATTGTCTCCAATATGTAAAACCAGTTTTTATGTCAATATATTCCAAACAATGCAAATCTTTTGTGGATAGTCAATTTGAATGTGTCATCCATCTCTGAATAAACCCAAAAGAATTGATTTTCAGCTGCCACCATGAGCTAGAGACAGCACGAATCAACGGCGCGCTTGGAAATATCGATGCAAACACTGGAGATCCTCAGATTGGTACATGCTAGACATTATCATATTTGAATATTTCCACTTTCTAAATCCTAATATGGCTATGCTGGTTACTGTGAGTTCCCCTTGGCATAGGAGGAAGCACTATGTTACAGGAGTTTCTCCAATTTTTTAATGTTAATAGGCTATGATGGTTGCTTTGGGTTCACTTTGAATGATCTAATGATGTTTCCCCTGCTACAGGTTGGGACACCGACCAGTTCCTTACCGATATTGGTGAGGCCACTCTGGTTATGCTTAGTGTTGTAAGAAATGTAAGTGACAAAGTAACTCTAAGGCCATGTGTTTTTTCTTTTCATTTTTTGCAGAGGATGCTTATATTTCCTGAAATTGATCTTCCTGTATTCATTGTGCAGGGAGGGATTGCTCCTGGAGGATTCAACTTTGATGCCAAACTGTTAGTTCTTTTCTCAGTGTTTTACCATATAATGATATTATTGATGATTTATCATTTGAAAGAATAAGAAATTTTCTCTTAAGATCTTTTAAAACTTCAACTCTAGTTTGCACCATTTCTTTACTTTTGTGATTTGACTTTGTGTTTGGGAGTCCAGTCGTCGAGAGAGCACCGATGTTGAAGATATATTTCTTGCGCACATCTCTGGAATGGATACCATGGCTCGGGGCCTTCGCAATGTTGCTAAGCTGATGGAGGTTAGGTTTTGAACTCATTTGCTTTTTCGTCCATATATTTCGTTGGGGCTGTTTTGCTTTTTTTTTTTGGTGTTTGGGTGGTTAATTTCTTTTTCTTCTTTTTAATTTTTTATTTAATAGATTGTGGTTTTCATTTTTATTTGTCAGTTTTGTTTTTCTTTTATGAAGCTTTTCTGACTTAGATTGGTTTTTTGCACTGTTGCAGGATGGATCCTTGTCTGAACTCATTCGAAAGCGCTATGCGAGCTTTGATACTGAATTTGGAGCTGAAATTGAGGTATGTCTCTATAAATTATTTTCCCAATTGATAATTGTGTTCAGTATTTTCAAGCATTATTGTTCTCCACATTTTATCCTTAAAAGTAATATTCTGAAACAAATAAAACAGGCTGGGAAGGTTGATTTTGAAACGCTAGAAAAGAAAGCCATGGAATGGGGAGAACCTGCTGTTGCCTCTGGAAAACAGGTAGATTAACTGCTAAATTTGATCTCTGTTCTGGACTTCTCTTATTTTAGGTGTTCATGTCTAATGTGATCCGAGAGTCTAAGGAGGTTTTCCAATGTTTTTGTGTTACAGGAACTTGCTGAGATGATTTTCCGATCTGCGTTGTAGAGATAGAGAGACAGAGGGAGAGTTACTGATATAGAAGATCAGCTAATAAAATACTAAAGTAGTCCGGAAGTCGAAATAAATTTGAGTACGATGTTAGGCTAGAGTTCACGAAATTTTATTCCTTTTCTATGATGTAACAGTTTCTTATGGATATGGGCCTCGTAAATCTGTTTTCATTGCCCATCTCCCATGGTTTGTAAACAGGTAGAATTTGACAGCAGTTACTAAATGAAAGTTTAATTCTTCTATTCCTTCCTTATAAACAGGTAGAATTTGACAGCAGTTACTAAATGAAAGTTTAATTCTTCTATTCCTTCCTTATCTGATAGATCATTACGATATAGGATCTACTGTAAGACGGGCCTAATGTAAGACAGGCTTTTCCTTATTTGATCCTTCATTACCGAGAAGGATATACCATTACAGGCTTGGGTTTGGTTGGTTACTGAGTAGGATATACTATTAGAGGCTTGGGCTTGGTTGGTTAAGGGGTTGAGATTGCAAAACACTGCTAGTTTGAATGAACTTCTATTAGAGGCTATACTATTAGAGGCTTGGGCTTGGTTGGTTAAGGGGTTGAGATTGCAAAACACTGCTAGTTTCATGTTTGGTTTGCCACATGAAAACATTCTCTAATTTGGTCAAGTGGGAACATTTTTGCATCAATTAGTTGTCAATTGGTGTAAAAAGATGCACTAAGATCAATTGGTATGAAAATATTTTCACACAACAGTATGAGAGATAGCATTAAACAATTTTTTTCATGTGACAATCAAACATGAGAAAAAACAGCTCTTGCTCTTGAAGGGTTTACTCTTTAATTTTCATCATTCGTATCTCTTATCTTAAGAAGCTACTTAAATTGCTTAGGATTTGTTAATGAGAGATAGCACTAGAGAAGTTTTGAGAAAAAAAAGCTCTTGAAGGGTTTACTCTTTAATTTTCATCATTCGTATCTCTTCAAAAAAAAAGATCTTAAGAAGCTACTCAAATTGCTCAGGATTTGGAAACATTAACAAATAGACCTATTTCGGTAATTTGACATGTTGAACTGGCAGGGGTACTCTGTCATGGTTGGGGCCATGTTGGGGCCATTTAGATGAGTCAAATTATCATTCAGTTCATAGCTGGGGCCATTTAGATGAGTCAAATTATCATTCAGTTGGAGCCTCGAAGATGAGTCACATTATTTAAGTAGGGTATACCATCAATTTATCATCATCATTTTAGATTTTTTCCAATTAAATGTGATTGGCCATATAAATTTTGGTTCTCCATTCTGCTCTATTAAAGGTCATATTATCAATGAAACCATAAGTTCTTATATCTCTTTGGATTACTTTCAACCACATCCTTTTGGGTTGATTTTTTGTCATTTTCAGTCCTTCCAGTACTAATTTGCACCTCTTCACAGGTACTGATCGGTACTACACATGCCTAGCCCACTTAAGTTTACTCTCTCTCGTCGACCAACCCACTTAACTTTATTCTCTTTCATTTTATTGTCTATTGGTACTACACATGACCAGCCCACCTAAGTTTACTCTCTCTCATCGACCAACCCACCTACGTTTATTTGTTCTCTCTCATTTTGTCGTCTATTGATGCTACACATGACCAGCCCACCTAAGTTTACTCTCCCTCATTTTATCGTTTGTTGGTGCCGCATCAAAATTCTCTTGAATAGATTCATTTTGAATTTTATCCCTTTTTGTCTTGCCACTTATCCATCATCATCTCCGCAATACTCATCTATCTCAACATCATCATCTTCGCTACACTCATTCTATAGGTACATCGTTCTTTGTCCGCCTAAGATTCCACTCTATAGAGTAAAGTTGGTCTCACCGCTGTCCTATATAACTTGTTCTTCAGCCTCATTTGTATGTGGCGATCACAGAAAATTTCATTTGCACATCTCTACTTCATCCACCCAACTCTAATCTGTGTCCGACAACTTCCTCGATCTCTCCATTTTTCTATATTATCGACTCAAGATATCAAAAGTGAGATTTTTTTTTTTACTTCTTGGCCGTCATTAATATATATGTATAGAAAATGTCAATATTATTATATTATGATTATATAATTAATATAATGTTTTTGTATTCTAATATTATCTATAAATATTGCAATATCATTAATATGGTAATAACATAGGAATTATATATCATAGGGTGTGGTTTGTATAAGGCTGAGGCCCTAAACAATCTCAGTAAGGTGCACTTTCAAATAATATCGAAAGTTGTTATTTTAGTACTAGAAATCTTTGTAATGGCTCTAAAATTGATTTTCATCTCTAATTATAAAATCTAAAGCTTCAAAAATAGTATAGATCGTGCAAATCTATGAACACTAAAAAATATTGAAAATTGACTTTCCAAAAAACGCATTACATGTGCATTATTTTCAAGACTTGAAATTTATTTGTTCTCATGTCCATACATGTTGAGATTGAGATGATCGATTTGAGGATTTTTGGGCATTGAAATAATCATTTCTACCGAATTCTTGAGGTGAGTCTTGACTTGATTGTTTAGTATCTTACCTTTTTTAATACTATATGACCATTCACTTTTTGTACAAGAAGGTCATAATTAGCCATAACCATTGGATGTGAAATCCAACGTAGTGAAATTACATCACAACCTTGAAAAAACTTTATTTTAGACTTTGTGCTTAGTTAGTGATATATTTCCAACCACCCAATTTCACATTCAATGGCAATAATAATAATTGTGATCTTATTGTATCAAAAGTAAATGGTCACATCTTATACATTTCCAATATTATAATATCATATAGCAATATAGTAAATATTAATATTATTAATATAATGTTAATAATTATTATTATTAATTATATCATTAATATGGTAATAGTAGATATTAATATATAAATGTAATAGTACAATAATATGCACAATAGTCATATATTACTATGTATTATAATAATATCATTATTATTATTATTAATGACGATGATGATGATGATAAGAAAAATAATACTTATAATAATAATAACACTTGCATAAGATTGCAACTTTAAACAATTAAAGTAATGTGCACCTCCAAATTTATTATGAGATGTAATTTTAGTGTTAAAAATTCTTGGGATGGTGTGAGATTCTATTTTATGTCTCATTATAAATTTTTAAACTTCTAAAATAGTTTAAATCAGGCAAATCTATAAATGTATGAAAGTCTTGAAAATGGGCAATCTAGATAATGTATTGCAATATATACTTTTTTTAGGACTAAAAATGTCTGTTTTTTCTCTATATCTATATATCTCAATGTCAAGTTTATCAATTAGAGGTTTCTTCAACTTCAAAACAAACTTTTTTTGAGAATTTTAGAGCTGCATCTTAATTCTACATTTTAAACTATCAACCTTATACAAATTTTTTTCTAATAACAATAATAATAGTAGTAATAATGATAGTTTTATTGAGATTCAAAATAATAACAATAATAATTATATTCGTAATGTGGTAGTTTACGCATCTCCCTCCTCAAAATGTGGAGAGAGTGTATATTTTTATGTTTAGGCCTGAAAACGTGAATACAAACATGTATGCGGAGATTGAGATCCCATTCCAAACCACATCCGAATTGTAAAAATGCCCGGCATCTATGGAAATGCGTATAGTAGAGATATATTTCTAGGGCCCCTTTGAGGAGTGCGTTTCGAACTTGGGGAGAGTTAGAGAGGGAGGCAATCAAACAAAGCATGCATGTGTGAGAGAGAGATGCATTAAAATAAAGGTGTGGTTTGTATAAGGTTGCAAAGTTAAACCATCAAATTAAGTCGTGCCTCCAAATTTGGTTACAAATATAATTTTGGTGTCATTTTTTTTTTTAAAAGTCGACAGTAATTTCATTGAGAGAATGAGAATTATAAAAAAAATGACCAAAAAAGGAAACAAAAGAGTAGAAAATAAGAAGGAAAGAGAGGTAAGGAGAGAGAGGGGGAAGGAGAAAAAAAGCACTAAAAAGACCCTAGTTTCACAAGAGCATCAACATCGTGTCATTTTTTCCTTTGTTGATGTGATTGAAGCAGACATCTTTGGCCAAGATTGCCATGCAGATTTCATCCAAAATTGGGGTCCATTATCAAGGTGTTGAGGACGGGTGGGAACACCAATTGATCGCATTAGCCGAATCACCTTCAATAATGATATGATCATGAGCCCAGACCCCTTTCTCGACTGCCCTTGGTTCAGCCACATTAATATCACAAAAGGCTAATTCTCCAAAAAAAAAAAAAGATAATGTTCCCCTCATAGTTTTTAAAAATCCCACCAAAGCCAGTCTTCTAAGTTTCCATGTCTAACACTACCATCAAAGTTTAACCACCCCAACGGGTAGGTAGCCAAAGGGAAGGCTTGATCACTATATGTTGTCGATGATAGAGAAGATCCGCAAAATTGTTGAAGAAAGATTCTTTGGGGTATTGTTTGAGACATAGAAAATCCTGGGCCCAAAGAATGGTGACTCTCATAATTTTCTTAGAAAGAATATCCTTATCACTAGAGACACCATAGAAAAAATTGTTGATTTCTCTCTTTCCATAAAGATCAGAGCACAGTCGCACAAAGAATGAACCAAAGGTGGATGCCCGTTTTGGAGAAGGGGGGGATCGAGTACAAAAGCAAAGAAACCTTGAATCTTTGCCGGCATGATCTACCGCCAATTAGAAATTGTAGAAGCCCAATTCCAAAAAAAGGTGGCAAATGGACAATGAAGAAATAAATGATGACAATCCTCAAGATTACAAATAAAGCATACATTAACCAAAATCATTCCTCTTTTCCTTAGCTGATCTCCCGTCAACACTCTACCTCGTTCCAGCGATCGTAAGAAAATTTTGTCCCTTTTATGGGGCTTTAATCATCCTGACCTTAGTATTTTTGTTGCTCAAATCGAAGATCCTATTATTACTAACTTCTTGGTACGGGGACTTAACCGAGAACCAACAACTAGGTGTAAGCTTCCATACCAAGGAATCCTCTCTAAAAGGGAATAAACAGAAAGAAGAAAGTTGTTGCATCAAGGCTAGAAACTATCTTTCCGTGGCCTCATCAATCCTTTTAACCTTAAGATTAACCTTCCAAACACAGTTTATGACCTTGTCCTTCAACCAACTCCGAGATCATCGCATGTTTGGCATCAACCCAATGAAAAACTTATGAAAATTGAATCTTTAGATGAACATCTCCTAACCATTTCCCGAACAAAAACTTTGTTTTGTCTCCATCCCCCACTTTGGTGTCACAAATTATCAGGATAGCTTGAGAACTTACTTTCT